CCACTCAGCCCATCACTTTTCAACCTTTTTATTGAACCTCTGGCCCAGGCTATCAGGGAGGAGTCAGCTCTGGAGGGTATTTCCATAGAGGGAGTAGAAAACAAAATTTGCGTGCTTATAACACTTAAAAATCCTGAATATGGAGTCTCACTGCTGATGAAGATCCTCGGGAACTATGGGAGATTCTCAGGTTACAAATTGAACAAGCAGAAAACTCAAGTTTTAGCCTTTAATTTTTCCCCTTCTCCAAAGCTGATGGAGGAACATCAGTTTCATTGGCATCAGCAGCACATTAAATATCTGGGAGTCCTTCTTATGAAGGACATGTCACAGCTGTTTGAAGTTAATTATAAACGGGTTAACAGGAAAGTGTATGATGACTTGGATAGGTGGGGCTTGCTCCCCCCCGACCTTGGTGGCAGAATAAGGACAATTAAAATTAACATTCTTCCAAGATTATTATACCTATTCACAGCACTTCCAGTGGAGGTGCCTCTTAAACAGTTTAGGGAATGGGACAAACACCTGTCAAGAAGGAATAATAAAAAACCCAGAGTGAGATACTCAACATTACAGCTGCCGGAGGGTGGGGGGGGCATGGCCCTACCCTGTTTTAGAGATTACTACCTGTCTGCTCAGCTGAGACCTCTTGTGTGCTGGTGTAATCCGGCATATGAGGCTAGATGGAAAGACATTGAGCTGTCTTTAATGGACATACCTATACAGTCAGTACTGGGTTGCACCAGCATAGTTAACAAGGCTCTCCAGCTTCAAAATCAGTTTGTAGCTTTCTCTATGAGGGTATGGTTGGAGGTGATGAAGAGATTTCAGCTACACGGAGAGACAAGATTATTGAGCTGGCCGGCATATGATCCACAGTTCCTTCCAGCGTCACAGGTACAGACAATGGGCTAAGCGAGGTATTACTGCCTTCTGCCGAATATTAACAAATGAAATATTTAATAGCTTTGAGGACTTATGCCGGCGTATGAGCTGGGCAAAGAGGACTTCTACCGGTACCTACAGATTCAACACTTTCTTTTAAAGGAAATAAGGCCCTCTGATCCTACTGAGCCCTCAAGAATAACCCAGATACTTATTGATGCTTATTGACCCAGTCTACTTCTACTAACTCCTTGTTTTGGAGGGATTTATGTTGGAAAAATCTCATTCGTTATCTTATTAACCCCAACCAAAAATCCAAATTTAGTGGGTCTCAGTGCTCCTGCTGGAGGGAGTGTGGATCAGTTTCAGCAGATCATGCTCACATTTTCTGGTCATGCCCTTATGTTGTGCCTTTCTGGAAAGAAGTGGGCCGATTGGTCTCAGAGATCCTGGATCTGAGATTTGACTTTTCTTTTACCTCAATGTACCTTGGACATATTCCTAAGGATCTTAATAAGAGTGACTCATACCTTTTGAAGATCTTTCTGGCCGCCAGTAAAAAGGCGATTACAAAATGCTGGCTCCAGAGGAACCCTCCTACCATCACCCTTCTTATCAATATAATCAACTCTATACGCATTATGGAGAAAATTACTTTCACTATTCGATTACAAAAGAAGAAGGGAGACAAATATTGGAAAAAAAGGGGACTGTTACAACCATGTAGATCTATGTATATGTGTACTGTATTTTTTTATTTTTCTAACTAGACCTTTCAATGACCTGTACTTGTACTTTTTCTTTTGGCTTATCCTTACTTTGTATATGTAAAAATTCCAGTTATTGACAGTTCTTAACTCAGTCCAATAAACTGGACTGGGTTAAGAACTGTCAAAAGCCAAAGCTGTCTCTATTTTCTGAGGAGGCTGAGGTCTTTCAACATCTGCAGGACCATGCTGAGGATGTTCTGTGAGTCTGTGGTGGTCAGTGCTATCCTGTCTGCGGTTGTCTGCTGGGGCAGCAGGTTGAGGGTAGCGGACTGTAAGACTCTGATCCACAAGGCCAGTGACGCTGTGGGAGTGGATGTGGACTCTTTGACAGCAGTATCAGATAGGAGGATGCTTCATACCATGTTGGACAATGTCTCCCACCCACTCCACAATGAACTGGTCAAACACAGGAAGACTCTCAGTGCGAGACTCATTCCACTGAGCTGAACCACAGAGAGACACAGAAAGTCAGTGGCCATTAAACTCTTTAACTCCTCCCTCAGAGAGTCTTTGTTATTAAACTAACTTAAATATTAACCTGATCAATGTGCAGTACTCAATATTAACATTACCAGTACTATTATTTATTACTATTTACTGTTAATCAATTACACTTCTATATTATATTATATACTGTAGCACAATAATAACAAAATAATAATTTTGACCATTACAATATGTATTAAATTACAATATCAAACAATATCTACTAAAAATAAAGTGGAAATATACATATGTATATATATTTCTTATATTTTTGTATTTATATTGTGTTAGATATTGTAATATAATTAATTATTATTTTTATTTCTATTTCTTTAATGTCTTGTGTGATCTTCCTAGGGATCAATAAAGTACTTCAGCAAACTGCAATGACCCTGTGTCTTTCTCTCAGTTCACAATTGTAGATTTATTGAGTGAAGAGAAACTTTACAAACTGTGTGAAACGCTACAACAGATTGTTTATTATTTCTTGTAAAGTTATTTACTGGACGGCGGTCCAACGTCCTCGTCCACTGTGAGAGACTGATAAAGGTAATAATGAACACTGACCAACAACAGTTTGAGTACAGTCCTACAGAGCGGTATGGAAGCGTATTGCATTCACTTATTATTTTATGGTTGGTTTTTCTGAGTAATTTTTTTCTGATTTTCTGAATTTTTTTCTGAACAATAGACGCATTCAATCCTTTATTGAGAGCTCGATTTAA